GGCAAGGGAAGAGTCAAGGCCAAGTTGCTAGGGAGAGGGAGGGCAGCATAGCCTTGGCCCCCACCCTGGAGGAGGATTGAGACTTGGGGGGGCGGAAGCAGGCTTCTGGCAGAAGATGAGAAACTTGCTGTTGGACACACATTTCTGGTATGGCAGGACACCTGTCCTCGGGTCAGAACACAGAACAAGAGAGAGAGTGAAAGGAAGGAGCCTAGGTGTCTGGCTGGACCTGAGAGTGATCTGAGAAATCGGAGCAAGCAGGCGTGGTCTTGAGAACAGGAGGTTGGAGGGAGAGGAGCAGAGGGTCTTAGAGGGGGTGTGATTGATAGGCTCTGAAAAATCACATTTGGAGGCTGGTTGGCAGTCACTTTGGAGAAGTCTCATGTTTCCCATTCTGAGTCTTCTTTGGCTCTCTGGAATCCATCTCCACAGATAGGCTAAAGGAGGGTTGCTGGAAATCTCATGTGGAAACTCTCAGCTCTCAGAGCTGGGATGGCTTCTCACTTCAGATGGGATCACAGAGGGACCTCCATCCCTCATAAAGACCCCTAGAACTAGGCAATCAGCACTGCTGCAACCAGAATGCTGTCTGGGGGCCCTGGGGAGCCCAGCAATTTGCTCCCCTTGCTTTTCCTATTTCTGATTGCAGTCTTGAGGAGCCTGAAGTCAGTTGTTGATAAGAACATCATTCTACCCTGCCTTGTGCCAGCTTCCTCCAGCTGAAGACATCGATCATCCCTTGGGGATCCAGCCCCCCTCCATTTGGTGCATGCAGGTGACGGTGGGGACTGTCCCATGTGTGATCCAACCCAGGGTACACTGGTCATCACTCCACAGATGAGTCATTTGCTGCCCGTCTTTCCTTGCTCTGTCTGACCCCTTCAACTTTAATGTAAATGTCACTCCTGGGATCCTATCATTGTGGGAATTTTTTTTTTTTGGTAGAAATACCATGTTGGAAAGGACATTTGTTCTCTACTGTTTAAATTGCTTTCTACGGGTTAGGGAGAACTAGCCATTGATTTTCTTCTAGAGAGCATAGCAAGCCCTGTGAAGATTTTGGCTAGTTAACTTTTGGAGACATGCTTCTTGAATTTATCAGGGAGGCTGAAGTCTCTTTTCTCCTCTTATATCTTGAAAAAGGCTTTAAATTTTGTTTCCGAATCTCTGCCAACACCTGGTCTGTTTGAAAGGACTTCCCTGGAGATGATGGTAGAGGGGCTGTTGAATGTCATGTTTTTGCAGCTTCGATCTTTAATACAGTTGTTCCAGTCCACAGAAAGTCTTTTCTGTTTACATAAGAGAAGTATCATTCACACAAAGATTACACTTAGAAATATACATTTTCCCCCAGCATGCTTGTTACTAATAACATTGCATGTTATGAAAGTGGAAAGTATTTAAGATGAAATTAATTTTCGCCCAGCGTGCCACTTTGTTTGACATTCTCGATCCAGTTGGTGTGGAGCACCAATGTTGGCCTACCTCACTTTGCATTTTTAGCAAGTTCAATTTATTGTTCTTCTTGTCTGGATTGACGCTGTTGGAAGTGAGTTACTAGCATATTAGGACAAGTCCAATTTGGAATCCTACTGTGTAGATTTCTTTTGTATTGGTTTCCAGAAGTTTATTTTGAAAATGATCATCTCCAGTAGATGAGTTTTGCTATACAATTTTTCATTTTCATTTTTTTGGGGGCCTGATTTTATGGGTTCTCTTTTCAGCAGAATTTCTGGGGTTGGGATAATATCTTTTTTTTTTTGGCAGTCTGTTAGAAGGTCCTGGGAAAACAGATTGCTGCTTTCACGTTGGACACCTCTCCGTCAAATGTTCTTGTCAGTTCTCATCGATGTGGTGTGGCTGCTTTGCGGTTTCATGGGTGGGGGCTGGAGCATCCAGGACACCCTGAACAACCTGGGTCATCTTGTCTGGGCCAAGCTGCCTGTGAAAGTTCTGTTCCACTGAGCTATATCGCCATAGCAGAAGGAAGCATTTAAGCTGGTGTGACACAAATACTTTGTAAAAAGTGGTTCTTTATTTTTGATCAATCTTGTGATCCTTGTTACCAGCTTTGATTACATCAGCTTATGTGCCATTCAGTTTTATAGCATTTTAATGGGCTTTCATATCCCCTCCCCAATTCATTTCCAGCCACGTGACTATTACAATTTGATTGCAGTTTGGTTTTGCAACTGCCAGGATGCTTTCTGAGCATATGATGCCTTCCTTGTGAATGTGAAGATGTTCAGAGGTGAAAAAGGAGCAAAGGGTTTTTTGTTTTGTTGTTTGTTTTTTTTGGATGCTTGTCAACAAGTAATTTCCAAATGATGCCTCAGAAGCTTCCAGGGTTGTGTTTTCCCAAGTAAGGCATTTGTTTTAAGCTCTTTATTAGAACCTGACCCGTTGGCTTTTCAAAGAGTATAGAAAAGTACATTTAAAACTTTGGTTTCTAACAAGTGGTGATGAGAATGTGGGGTAGTTGGGACCCTTGTACACTGTTGGCAGAAATGTAAAATGGTATAGCTACCATGAAAAACAGTATGGTGGTTCCTCAAAAAATGAAAAGTAGAACTACCATAGGACTCAGCAATTCTACTTCTACTCCTGGGTATATACGTAAGAGAATTGAAAGCAGTTTTTTTTTTTTTTTTTTTTTTTTTTTAAAGACAGCGTCTCACCCGTTGCCCAGGCTGGAGTGCAGTGGCACAATCCCAACTCACTGCAACCTCTTCTGAGTTCAAGAGATTCTCCTGCCTCAGCCTCTTGAGTAGCTGGGATTATAGGCATCCGCCACCACGCCCGGCTAATTTTTGTATTTTTAGTAGAGACGGGGTGTCGCCATATTGGCCAGGCTGGTCTCGAACTCCTGACCTCAGGCGATCCACCTGTCTGGCATCCCAAAGTGCTGGGATTACAGGCATGAGCCACCATGCCCAGCCTGAAATCAGGGTTTTGAAAAGATATTTGTACACTCATGTTCATAGCAGCAATATTCATAATAGCTAAAATGTGGAAGAACCCAGACGTCTATTGACAGATGAATGGATAAGCAAAATGTGGTGTATGCATACAGTGGAATATTATTCTGACTGAAAAAGGAAGGAAATTCTGACATATGCTGTAACATAGGTTAACCTTGAGGATATTATGCTAAGTCAAAGAAGCCAGTCACAAAAAGACAAATACTGTATGACTCCACTTTTCTGAAGTACTTGGAGTAGTCGGAATCATAGAGATAGAAAGCAGAACGGTAGTTTCTGGAGATGGGGGCAGAGGGGGAATGGGGAGTTATTGTTTAATGGGTACAGAGTTTCAGTTTTGCAAGATGAAGAGAGTTCTGGGAATGGCTGGTAGTGGTGGTCGTACAGCAGTATGCGTGTACACTAAAACTGTATGCTTAAGATGCGAAATTTTATGTTATGTGTATTTTACCACAATTAAGAAATTGAGGCCAGGCGTGGTGGCTCAGGCCTGTAATCCCAGCACTTTGGGAGGCTGAGACAGGTGGATTTGAGGTCAGGTGTTTGAGGCCAGCCTGGCCAACAGAGTGAAACCCTGTCTCTACTAAAAATACAAAAAGTTAGCCGGGCGTGGTGTGGCGGGTGCCTATAATCCCAGCTGCTCAGGAGGCTGAGGCAGGAAAATCACTTGAACCCAGGAGGCAGAGATTGCAGCGAGCCGAGGTCGCACCATTGCACTCCAGCCTAGGCGACGGAGTGAGACTCCATCTCAAAAAAAAAAAAAAAAAAAAAAAAACCCCAAAAAACCCCCCAACCCCCCCCAAAAAATCTCCAATTTTGCTTTCTTTATTCCTCTAAATACTTTGGTTAAGAAATATTATTTTTAGAGACTTTCCCTCTCATTTTGACTTTCTGAAATCCACATAGAACCAAAACAGAAAGACATCATAATGTTGCTTCAGAATAAACTCTTGATTCTCCCTTTTGCCCCTGTGACCTCTGTGGCTCCTTCCCTTCCTACTTCTTCTTCCCATACTCCACTCCTTTGTGCCCACTGCCCCCTGACCCCAGTAAGAGGCTTGAATTTACCTGGCATAGGTTATGTTATTACATTTGTATTTCTTTGAGACATTTATTAGCCTGTGCCTATGTTTTATTTGGTAGGTATTTGATCTCATTGATTATTTTAGTGCTTTGCATTTGATCAATTATATCAATGTTCTATTTTTGGTCTTTGAAAAGGACACTATCTTAAAATTAGTAGCATCACCACGTGTCCAAAAATACCAAAGAGTCAGGAACGTAAAACCTACTGTGCTTAATCAGATTCTCAGTCCAGCAAACCAGAAAGGTCTTTCTATTTGTTTTTTAAATTCCTTGAGTTGAATTATTTTGAATTCAAAATTGTTGAATTCTATTTGCTTTCTATCAGAAAGTTATTTTTCTTTAAGTAATACGGTTTTAAAAGATTGGTGCCTGTTCCTCTACACCTCCTTCTTCCTGCAATATCCCTACTTTTATAGAATGTTTTTTTCTGTCCTAGTTTTTGTTTATAGGAGTGTTTCTCTTCTGTTGTAATGGAAAACTGGGTATCTTTGCTGGTGATTTGGGTTCACCTAGAGAGCCTTTGCTGGTGACTTCTGAGAATAAAATGTAGCTAATATGAGTGAGGAGGTTCCAGAAGTGTGATGGCCTCTAGGTTCCATGCAGAGGTTGTTCCAGAGCTACCTCCCTTCTGGAGTGGGACCTCATGCTTTCTAGAACATGGACAGCTCTCTCTTACTGGTGACTCATCCTTGGAAGCCCATGCTCTTTGTTAGAGGAGTTTCTAAGTTGCCTGGTGGATTTGGGATAGAAAATAAAATCTGGTCAAGACCTGACACTGAGTTGCATTCTGCTCATTGGCAAGACTGTTGGTGCTCATTGCCTTGGTCTTCATAATTGAGGGGTCTTCAGTCTTCCCAGGGAGGTGTGTTTGTTTCCCTCTGGGTGTGTTTCAGTCTTTCCTGGCCTCACCCTTTCACTCTCTGACTCTGGCAGGCTCGGGGACCAGTTCTACAAGGAAGCCATTGAGCACTGCCGGAGTTACAACTCACGGCTGTGTGCAGAGCGCAGCGTGCGTCTTCCCTTCCTGGACTCACAGACTGGGGTGGCCCAGAACAACTGCTACATCTGGATGGAGAAGAGGCACCGAGGCCCAGGTGAGCCACGCCACTCCTGGGACATGTGCACGTGCAGGCTCCCAGTCTGGAGGGAGGAGGACCAGAGCTTGTCTGGGAATCCAGGCAGCCTGGGTGGGATCGGAGTGGGGCAAGCTGCACATGGGCCTCTGAGATCCCTTAAAGCAACTCAGTTACTTTATGGCTCCTGGCAGGTGTTCTGAGGAATGTGACAAGGATGGTGTGGGGCATTGAAGCCATGTGGCAGGGGTGGGGTGGAGTGGGGAGTGAAAGAGCTAAAGGTGTTTCTCCCAAAGAAGGCAAGACTGAGGACATGACAGCAATCTTCATCTTTTACCTTTGAGTGTTGGTTACAAGCCAGAAATCTGCCATTCGATCTTGGTGTGAGGCTTAGCTTTGTCACCAAACTTCTGTCCTTCAGGTTCCCCATCTGTAAAATGTGAATAATAATAGTACTTACCACAAAAGATTTTGTCTGATTTAAATGAGACTATTCATAAAAACTCATAACATGAGTTTAGCACATAGTAAGTATGTACTTCCGAAATGCTGGGTGCTATTATTATTATTGTTATTATTTTTTTGAGATGGAGTCTCACTGTGTTGCCCAGGCTGGAGTGCTGTGGTGCGATCTCAGCTCACTGCAACCTCTGCCTCCCGGGTTCAAGTGATTCTTATGCCTCAGCCTCCTGAGTAGCTGGGATTACAGGCCCATGCCCCCACACCTGGCTAATTTTTGTATTTTTAGTAGAGATGGGGTTTCACCATGTTGGTCAGGCTGGTCTTGAACTTCTAATCTCATGTTCTGCCCACCTGGGCCTCCCAAAGTGCTGGGATTACAGGTGTGAGCCACCGCACCTGGCCTATTATTATTGCTATTACTGTTATTACTACAGCTGCAATGACACTAGTCTTCCAGGCTGCAAAGAACAGAATAAAGACCTTTTTATTAGGGAGACAGCTATAGGAATGTGATTTTTCTGGCTCTGTCTGGATATATTTTTAAAAATGTTTCATTTGGAAAAATTTCACCTTCATATAAGATTGAAGACAATAGTAAAACACATCTCCATGTAACCCTGCTTCAACAACGGTCAACTCATGGTCAGTCGTGTTTCGTCTGTACGCACTCCTTACTTTCCTCCCTGACCTCAGATTATTTTGAAGCAAATACGTAAAAGCACGTGATTTCATCTGTAAATATTTTGTTATGTATCTCTAAATGGTAAAGAACTTAAACAAACAAACAAACTCACAATCACTATCAGAGCTCAAAGAATTAGCAATAAGACTTGAATATCATCGAATATTTGGCCAACATTCATTTATTCCCCCTGTAGTTTAAATCAGGATCCAAATGGGAGCCCTACATTGCAATGGACTGATGTGTCTTTTAACATCTCTGGGTTTCTCTCTGTCTCTGTTTCTGACTCTCTCTTTCCTCCTTGCATGTTACTTGTTGAAGACACTGGGTTGCTTACACTGTAGGATTTCCCAGAAGGATTTGGTGCTTGCGTTCCCATGGTGTTATTCCTGTGAATTGGTAGTTAGGTCTAGAGATTTATTCAGGTTCCATTTTTTTTGGTAAGAACAACTCCTAAGTGGTAGTGTGTACTTTCATCAGGAGGCTCATACAGTCTGGTTACTTCCTTTACTGACGTTAGCAGTCCTTCATGATAATTGCCTAGATTCTTTATCCCATTAAGGGTTGCAAAAAGTTAATATTCAATCCAGGACTATCATTATATCTTCATTTGTTAGCTCTACAACTTCTATAAAGAAAAACATTCCCTCATTAAAATTTTAGTTATTGTGAGATACAGTTCACATATGAAAGGCAGGATAAATGACTTTTTTCCCCTCTATTTACCAGTTTTCAAAATAATGAGTTGGTTCCCTAGCATTCTCCGAAGACAATCAATATAATAATAATTATTTTTTTGAGTACCACCAGGAACTCACAGATTTAAACATATTTGATGTATTTTAATCCAGTGTAGTTATTATTCTTATGAGGCTTATATTGCCTCATCTTTGGCCAGTCTGGTCAGTGCTGGTGTTTTTTTTTTTTTTTTTTTGAGATGGAGTCTTGCTTGGTAGCCAGGCTGCGGTGGCATGATCTCGGCTCACAGCAACCTCTGCCTTCCGGGTTCAAACAATTCTCCTGCCTCAGCCTCCTGAGTAGCTGGGATTACAGGCGCGTACCACCATGCCCAGCTAATTTTTGTATTTTTAGTAGAGATGGGGTTTCACCATGTTGGCCAGGATGGTCTCGATCTCTTGACCTTGTGATCCACCTGCCTCGGCCTCCCAAAGTGCTGGGATTACAGGCATGAGCCACTGTGCCCGGCCAGTGTTGGTATTTTGAAACAACCCCAGTAGTTTCCGATAGCCTTCTTGCCACCCGAATAGTAGGATGAAATATTTCAGGCTCATCCTGTACATTTCCTGCTCTCCAGGCCTGAAATCAGCTACCTCTTGAAGAAATCCTGGCTCCTTTCTGTAGGAAATGTTACTTAGAGACCACAGTCTAGTGCTGTTCATTGCTCCTGGCTTGGTCATTGTTTCTAGGCCTTATCAGTGACTAGTACTAAGAAATATGATTTTTTTTCTTTTTAAGAGACAATACATTGTGAAATTGTGTTGATACATCCCATTCAATTCAGTTTTAAACAGTTTTTAAGTATCTTAATTCTGTATCTACTTTCTCCTACACCAAAAAAATCCTAGAAATGATATTGATGTAATTACTTATTTGCTTTATTTTACACACACACACACACACACACACAGACACACACACACACAGTATCAGAATAACAATACGACTATTAACAATAAGATTACTGAAAAAGGTTTAAGATATTTTCTTTTTTTTTGCAATTCTTTTTGTCCTTAGGGTATATTCCATTAAATATGTGCAGCCAAATTACTCTCGTTTAAGGTCACTTGAAATAGTTCCTCTGTGTGGTTGTGCCACTAACTCAATACACAGTTGGATTTATTTGTTTCATTTTGCTTTCACTTATCAGGGATTGCTTTTTGAGTGGGGAAGGGGATTCATATAATTTCTTCTTTATTAAATAAACTTTTCATCTTGAAATAATTAATAATTGTAATTGTGACTATATTTGCAATTTGCAGTTGCAAATATAATACAGAGAGATCTCCTATCTTCTTCCCCCAATTTCCTCCAAGATAAATACATCTTACAATATCAAACCCAAAAAACTGACATTGTGTAGCTCTGTGCCATTTTATCACACATGTAGATTTGTGTAATCACCTCTACAATCAAGATACAAAACTATTCTATTACAACCCAACATTCTCATTACTTAAATCCTTTTACCCTCTTCAATTTATAATATAGTTGTCTTAAATATTTCCTTTATATACATTGAAAACCATACCAGTGTTATAAATTTTGCTTCAACCATCAAACATAATTTAGAAAACATAAGAGAAGCATTTATTGTATTTACTCACATTTTTACTCCTTCATTGTTTTTCTTCCTTACTGACATTCCAAGATTCCTTCTTTTAGCATTTCCTTTCTGATGTAGTACTTTTTTAGGCCATTCTTTTAGAGTAAATCTGATGGTGACAACTTCTTAGTTTTCCTTCATTGGAGAATGTCTTGATTTTGCCATCATTCCTGGAGGATATTTTTGCTGGATATAAAATTCTGAGTTGACAGTCCTTTTATTTTAGCAGTTGAAAAAGGTTTTGATGGTTTCTCTTTCTGATGGTTAGTGATGAGAAATCTGCTGTCATTTAAATTTAAATGTTTTTTTTCCCTTATAAGTAAGGTGTCATTTCTCATTGTTTTCAAGTTTTTTCTTTGTTTTTAGTTTCAGAAATGTGATTTTGATGCGTTTTGGCATAGATTTCTTTCGGTTTATTCTGTTTGAGTTTACTCAGCTTCTTGAACCTGTGGGTCTCTGTTTTTTTTTTGTGCCAAATTTGGGAATTTTTCAGCCATTATTTCTTTGAATACCTCTTCAGTTCCACTATCTTTCCCCTCTCCTTCTTGGACTTCAACAACACAGATGTTAGATCTTTTGTTATAGTCCTAGAAGTCCCTGAGGTTGTGTTTATTTATTTTTAAAATTCCTCTCTCTGTTGCTTAGCTTGGGTGATTTCTGTAGTTTTCTCTTCAGGTTCACTGCTTCTTTATTCTGTCCTCTGCCTTCTGCTGTTAAGACAATCCATTGAGAGCTTTTTAATTTTTTGTTACAAAGTTTTTTGGTTTTCAAATTTCTGTTTGATTCTTCATATTTTCTATTTCTTTGCTGAATGTGTTTTATGTGTTCAAAATTGCTTGTTGAAACACTTTTAATAATGGCTGCTTTAAGATCCTTGCCAGATAATTCTAACATTTTTGTTATTTTGTTGTTGGTATCTGTGTCTTTTCTTTTTTGAGATTTTCCTGGTTCTTCATAAGATAAGTGGCTTTGACTGAATCTTGGACATTTTGGTCGTTATGTTATGAGACTCTGGATATTATTTAAATCTTCTATATTAGCAGGTCTCCTTTCAAGCTATGCTAGTAGGGGAGGCAAGGCTCCCCTCATTACTATCAGATGGGTGTGGAAATCCAGCTTCTCTACTTGGCTTCTGTTGACAACCTCGTATGACATCCTCTTTAACAAGGGGAATAATACCTTTTGGTTGCTGGGTGGAGGTGGGAGTTCAGGCTCCCCACTAGGCCTCCACTGGTATTATCCTATTTGGGAGGAGGAGGGCCTCTACTCATACTACAAGTCTCCAGCTCTTTCCTTAGCCTTCTCTGACACCAACCCAGCAAAGCTATTGGGATGCCTGCTTATGTTGCTAGGCTGCTCCTTTCCTGGTTCTCTGGCTAGAGAGAGCAGGATTTTCTTGAGGCTTTTATTGGTCTTCATTTGTTGGTGTTTCTGGGTTATCAGCTTTTCCAGAATCCAGTCCAGGATATATGAGGCATAAAGGATACCCAAGATTGGGCTAGACACAATGGCTCATGCCTGTAATTCCAGCAC